TATATATATACACACATACACACACACACCACATCTTTATCCATTCATCCATCGATGGACGTTTGGGCTCTTTCCATACTTTGGCTATTGTTGATAGTGCTGCTATAAACATGGGGGTGCGTGTGCCCCTTGGAAGCAGCATACCTCTGTCCCTTGGATAAATAACTACTAGTGCAATTGCTGGGTTGTAGGGTAGTTCTATTTTTAATTTTTTTGAGGACCCTCCATACTGTTTTCCAGAGTGGCTGCACCAGTTAGCATTCCTAAGGATTGTGAGTTTTTAATCACAGCTTTTGAATTATTTTGTGATTCATGTAAAAGTCCTTCTTTTGTGACAAGTCATAGTTGCCTGAGAACCACTTGGGTCCCTCCTCCATGTTACCCTGGGACCAGTGTTCTGTCTCAACACAGCAGGTGCCCTGGCCTCTGGGTCCTTTCTGACTCATTGGCAAGACTTGCAATGGATGTCACAAGTCATCTGACCCACATTGCAATGGTGGCTGAGAAAAGAGCATCATTGATTTTGGTCTATTAGAGGTTGTGCTTTATCCCCTGCCCAGCTGACTATTTTTGGAAGGTGGGTAGACCATGATGCATATATATGACCATCTATGGACCCTTAGGAGGTTACTTAGATGTCATTGTGTTCACAGTTATTGTGGTTTTAGAGAAAGTCACATTGTTACCACGGGTTCCCTTTAGCAGAGCTGTGAAGAGAGAGATGAGCTAGGGAGACGATGCACCTTCCTCGTGTGAAGGCAATGGTATTCAGCCTGGTACTGTGCCACCATTGTGGTGTTCTTGCCTAATGTTGTATCCTTCCTCCTCTGTCATCGGGAATCCACTGAGTAGGTAAGGACTGCGAAACATGTGCGTGCAAGGATGTGATTTAAAAAAAAATTTTTTTTTAATGTTTATTTCTGAGACAGAGAGAGAGCATGAGTCAGGGAGGGGCGGAGAGAGAGGGAGACACAGAATCTGAAACAGGCTCCAGGCTTTGAGCTGTCAGCACAGAGCCTGATGCGGGGCTCGAACTCACAGACTGCGAGATCATGACCTGAGCTGAAGTCGGATGCTCAACCGACTTAGCCACCCAGGCGCCCCAAAGATGTGATTTTTAAGTAGTTGGCACTTCATTCATGAGAATTCCACAAGTTCTGAATTGTAGAATGGACTTCTAGAAGTTTCAGTTGGAGCTAAGCCGATACCTCCTTTGGCGTTGTTACGGAGTTTGCAAAGCAAATGAATAATTTGGGGGAGATTGCAGGGCAACTGTTTTGACTGCCTATACATCAAAGTTTGTCAAGGAATTGTGGAGCACTCATTCATAGAATGACTAAATTCACAGATAATTCTTTTCATTGAAGCAGATTCCCAGATGCCTTTCTGGGGTAAAATTTTATAAACTTAGTTGAAGTGACTGGTTGGTTAGTCCTGCATTCAGCATATCTGTGCTTAGTGCCTGTGGCGGGTGAGGTGCTAGAATGGGAGGAAGAGGAAGAGAGAAATGTGATCGCTGCCTCCCAGGATACTAATGGGGGCCATGGGCCTTAGCGATAGTGTACTTTGTATTTACCTGCAGATAATGAAATTAATATTCTTTAAAAATGTTTTATAGCTTCACCATTTCAGTACTTCATATAGTTCTTTCCCCTGTCATTCTGCTTTGTCTACATCTTCCTACTCTAATTTCTATCATTACAGTTTTTTGGTTTTCTATTTGAATATAAATGGGTTTTAATCCAAAGTCTCCTATTACCTTAAGGCATATTCATGCAGATTAATCTCTGTGTATCCCAGTTGTACCTTCCATTGGTCATTATTGTCCATGTAGTTTTTATTTGTACAATATATAGCAAACATAAAAATAACCAAGTTATGGGGCGCCCGGGTGGCTCAGTTGGTTAAACATCCAACTTCGGTTCAGGTCATGATGTCACAGTTCATGAGTCTGAGCCCCACATCGAGCTCAACACTGATGGTTTGGAGCCTCCTTGGGGTTCTCTCACTTTCCCTCTCTCTCTCTCTAACCCTCCCCACCCCTCCCCCAAATAAATAAACTTAAAAAAGTATATCCCCGTTACAGATATATACACATACATATATTGTCTGGTTGCAGTTGGTGAATTGTGCCAAACCGTGACCACAGCTGGGGACTGGAACAGGGCACCGACAGGAGCGAGGCATAGGCTTGCAGCTGGGAGGTACCCAGGCAGGAAGACAGCGCGAAAGTCGGGGAATGGTGATCTTCCTTTGTCATCTGTGTGCCCCGGTCTGTTAACCCTTCTGGAGGAAAGCGTCTCATCTTTAAGTGTCAGTAGCTTAAAGGGTTCCCCTTTGTGACATTTGCTGTTACTGTCAAAGTTTGGGTTAGCAAGGCTAGCCTGTCTGGCGAAGCTAATTACCCCCTTTTAGGCTTTGTGCCTGCAATTTGAGTAGCTGCCACAGGATGAATGGTGGTGCCGGCTGTGCTTGTGTTGCACAAATAGGCTCCCTCTGGGCCCAGGGCAGGGAAGGAAAGCCCGAGAATAGCCTGAATCCAGATAATGATGCTCCCTTGCTAGAGAGGCGTCATTCATTCACAATTCTATAAATCATTTCTAATCGTGTGGGATATAATTCAAATTGAGACGAAATACAAAGACATACACACCACTGATGTGCGTGCATTAAAACAGATTCCACACGCTCTCACTCCTTCTTGTGACCTCTTGGTCGTGTATTGTAAAGCACTGTCCAGAGTGTTCAGGGGACAACTGTGGCTTAGCAGAGGGAGTGTATCTAAGTACCTCTATGAAGCTCTTCCCATCTCTTCATCCCTTCTGCATCTCTCTCTTTGCCTTTTGAAACGTAAAGTTTATTGGGATTATATCTACTACCAAAGTCATATGCATTAGAGAAAATCCCCACTAGAGAAAATGCAAGAAATTGGAGAAAATCACCCATTCTACTAAGGTCCGGTCTCTGTTTTCTTTTTAATTTTTTTTAACGCTTATTCATTTTTGAGAGACAGAGACAGAGTGTGAGTGAGGGAGGGGCAGAGAGAGAGGAAGACACACAATCCGAACCAGGCTCCGGGCTCTGAGCTGTCAGCACAGAGCCGGACACGGGGCTCGAACTCATGAACCATGAGACCATGACCAAGCTTAAGTTGGACACTTAACTGACTGAGCCACCGGGGCACCCCTCTCTTTTGAAGTTCTGGTTACTTTTCTGAAAAGTTCAATGTTGGGGCGCCTGGGTGGCTCAGTCCGTTGAGTGTCCCAACTTCAGCTCAGGTCATGATCTCACGGTCCCTGAGTTCGAGCCCCACGTCGGGCTCTGTGCTGTCAGTTCAGAGCCTGAGCCTGCTTCGGATTCTGTGTCTCCCTCTCTCTCTGCCCCTCCCCCACTCATGCTCTATCAAAAAAAATGAATAAACGTTAAAAAATTTTTAAAGTTCAATGTAGTAAGATATGCATGCCATGCAGTGTCCCCCTTTTTTAAGGGTACCACTCCTGTTTTTTTAAGTGGGAAAAATTCCCTCTTGGCAGCAGCTTTTTCTTTTTGTGGCTCTTCAACTTAGTTTTCTTTGTGTGTCAGAACTGAAAGACTAGATGTGTTCATTATTTTAATTTTTTTTTCTTTTACCATGAGAATTCTTTTTTATTTTTATTAAAAAAATTTTTTTAATGTTTTATTTATTTTTGAGATAGAGACAGAGCATGAGCAGGGGAGGGGCAGAGAGAGAGAGAGAGCGAGACACAATCCGAAGCAGGCTCCAGGCTCTGAGCTGTCAGCACAGAGCCCAACGCGGGGCTCGAACTCACAAACCATGAGATCATGACCTGAGCCGAAGTTGGACACTTAACTGAGCCACCCAGGCGCCCCTTTATTTTTATTTTTTAAAATTTACATCCAAGTTAGTTAGCATATAACGTAATAGTGATTTCAGGAATAGATTCCAGTGATTCATCCTGTATGTATAAAAGCCAGTGCTCATCCCAACAAGTATCTTCCTTAATGCCCCTTACCCATTTAGCCCATCCCTCCACCCACAATCCCTCCAGCAACCTTCAGTTCTCTATATTTAAGAATCTCTTTGTTTTGTCCCCCTCCCTGTTCTTATATTAGTTTTGCTTCCCTTTTGTTCATTTGTTTTGTATCTTAAATTCCTCATATGAGTGAAGTCATATGATATTTGTCTTTCTGTGACTAATTTGGTTAGCATAATACCCTCTAGTTCATCCACGTAGTTACAAATGGCAAAATTTCATTTTTTCTTTTGTTTATTGATTTATTTTTGAGAGAGAGACAGAGTGAGTTGGGGGGTGCAGAGAGAGAGGGAAAGAGAGAATCCCAAGCAGGCTCTGCACTGTCAGCACAGAGCCCATTGTGGGCTTGAACTCACAAACCATGCGATCATGACCTGAGCCCAAACCAAGAATCAGATAGCTTAACCAATTGAGCCACCCAGGCACCACAGGATTTCATTCTTTTTGGTTGCCGAGTGATACTCCATTGTGTATGTATACCGCATCTTCTTTATCTATTCATCCGTTGATGGACATTTGGGCTCTTTCCATACTTTGCCTGTTGTTGATAGTGCTGCAATAAACATTGGGATGCCTGTGCCCCTTTGAAACAGCATACCTGTATCCCTTGGATAAATACCTAGTAATGCAATTGCTGGGTCGTAGGGTAGTTCTATTTTTAACATTTTGAGGAACCTCCATACTGTTTTCTAGAGTGGCTGCACCAGCTTGCATTCCCACCAACAATGCAAAAGAGATCCTCTTTCTCTGCATCCTCGCCAACGTCTGTTGTTGACTGAGTTGTTAATGTTAGCCATTCTGACAGGTGTGAGGTGGTATCTCATTGTGGTTCTGACTTGTATTTCCCTGATGATGAGTGATGTTGAGCATTTTTTCATGTGTCGGTTGGCCATCTGGATGTCGTCTTTGGAGAAGTGTATTCATGTCTTTTGCCCATTTCTTCACTGGATTATTTGTTTTTTGAGTATTGAGTTTGATAAGTTCTTTATAGATTTTGGAAACTAACTCTTTACCTGATGTGTCATTTGCAAATATCTTCTCCTATTCTGTCGGTTGCCTTTTAGTTTTGCTGATTGTTTCCTTCGCAGTGCAGAAGCTTTTTATTTTGATGAGGTCCCAGTAGTTCATTTTTGCTTTTGTTTCCCTTGCCTCTGAGGGAGGGAGTGTTGAGTAAGAAGTTGCTGCGGCCAAGGTCAAAGAGATTTTTGCCTGCTTTCTTCTCTAGGATTTTGATGGCTTCCTTTCTTATGTTTAGGTCTTTCATCCATTTTGAGTTTATTTTTGTGTATGGTGTAAGAAAGTGGTGCAGGTTCATTCTTCTGGTTGTCACTGTCCAGTTTTCCCAGCACCACTTGCTAAAGAGACTGTCTTTATCCCATTGGATATTCTTTATTGCTTTGTCAAAGATTAGTTGGCCATATGTTTGTGTGTCCATTTCTGGGTTCTCTATTCTGTTCCACTGGGCTGAGTGTCTTTTCTTGTGCCAGTACCATACTGTCTTGATGGTTATAACTTTGTAATACATTTTGAAGTCCAGGATTGTGATTCCTCCAGCTTTGGTTTTCTTTTCCAGGATTGTTTTGGCTTTTCAGGGTCTTTTCTGGTTCCATACAAATTTTAGGATTGTTTGTTCTAGCTCTGTGAAGAATGCTGGTGTTATTTTGATAGGGATTGCACTGAATATGTAGATTGCTTTGGGTAATACCAACATTTTGACAATATTTGTTCTTTCAGTCCAGGAGCATGGAATGTTCTTCCAATTTTTTGTGTGTCTTCTTCAATTTCTTTCATAACTTTTCTGTAATTTTCCAGAGGTATTCATTGTTAACTAGCACATACCTGCATGTCCACTGTTCCCTATTCTCTTGTTTTTCTATCAGTATAATTGCCCTGGTGGCTAAATTTTTATCATTCCAACTGATAGCGGAAGTTCAGAGCTGCTTTCAATGTTCCTCTAAAAGTTGTGCAAGTTGCTTAGTGACTGACTAAGCAGCTCCTGTCCTCTCTCTTTCCTTCCTGAAGACTTTGAGATGCCGTTAGACAAAACATGGCAAGTTTTGACACCATGCAGCGTCACGATTGATTATTTGCTGTTTCTTTGGGATGGCTTTATTTATGCTTTTGCTTTTCCTTCTGCTCCAGGGCCGCCGCCGCCCAGTTCAGGGAACGAGCAGCACTCGTCAGCCTCCATCTTTGAGCACGTGGACAGGCTCTCCCGGTCATCAGAGGCCAGCCGGCGGGTTCCCAGTAAGATACAGCTGATTGCCATGCAGCCGATACCAGGACCTCCAGTTCAGCACACCGTACTGGCCGACCGGGTGGCAGAAACCAACAAAATTAACAAAGAGGTATTTGCTCATATTGAAAAGTACATTTATATTAAAAAACAAAACAAAACAAAACCCACATTCTGATTTGGTCAGTGCTTACCAACAAGTGAACATTGCAGTGTTGAAGGTCGGAGCTGCCAAGAAGTATACTTAATTTTAAGTTTTATGCTCCGCTTTTTTAGATCAGATACCATTCAAGGACACCGTTTCGCACACTGGCCGTTGTGCAGAGAGTTCATGTGGCAAACATGAGACTGCTATCCTTCAAGAGTCCTGTTTTGGCCCTTGGCTGATGTTGAGGAACTTACATGTCAGAAAGCCTCCTGCCATTCCCAGAACAGAGTGGTTCACTGTGCCCAGACCGTTTTTGCAAACGTTATGACTTATTTGAACATCTCTTTTCCTTCTGGGACTCTGGGATTTTGGTACACGCTAGGCAGAGGGTGCCTGTTGGACAGCCCCCAGTACCGATCCTGGGCACTGCATCTCTGATGGGCTTCCTTGGTGGACAACATTTCACATGTGTTGTCACAACTCATTGCTGGAGGAATTAAGCATATTTAGTGTGACTCCCCCGGGAAAGGCCTCTTAGAAGCTTGTGCTTTATTTCCTCCAGATTTCACCCCACATACCCTGTGCTTATTTTAATTTGCGTCCTTTTGCTGTATTAAATGGGACTAAATGCTAAGTCCTATCAGTTTTCCTAATGAACCTTTGAATTGGGGGGTGATCCCAGATAGATCCGCTCTGACCCCAAGGATCTAGGAAGGCGTAGTAAAATCATCTTCCAGTGAATCCTGGAAGAGTGAGTTGGTAAGATTTGGGGAAGCAGAAGGCCAGGCCAAGTCACTGTTACCTTGAACTTGAAAGGTTTGACCTGGCCTGAGCCATTTTGGACTGCACATAGCTTTATGCTGTGCATTTCCTGCCCCTAACAAATACCTGCTACTGTTGTGAGTTCTGCCAGGATGAAGTCATAAGCAATTGGTGTGGTGGAAACCCCCTGCCCACTTTAAAGGTGATCCTTGAAGTAGATCATCTTACCGAAGTCCCATCAAGAGTTCCTAGAGTTTTCCCTCTCTAGCCCTCATTGGCTTCTTGCTAAGAATGTGACAAGAACGTGTGTCCCGGGTTTAGGATGGTGTGTGTTGTCTCTTCTCACCGAGTCCTGGCCTGGCTCAGCCCCAGTCCTAACCTAGAGCTGTCTGCACGCCTCTGTACCTGCTACGGGTAAATCCTCCTTTAAGTGGATTTTCCATCTGGTGGAAAGAAAGAAGGGAATGTGCTCACCAGGCCTGTGGCCTCACAACTTGATAGCATACATCTTTTTTTTTTTTTTTTTTTTTTTTTTTTTTTTTTTTACTCTCTTTTTAAAATGTAGTGCTTGATACATAGGTATGTATGCCCCCGCGTGGGAGTGCCTGTCCCTTTGGGGCCTGGACACGGGTCTGGGGAAAAGAAAGGCCTTCCCCAAGATGCTGTCTTCACGTGGGTGGCAGGAACCTTCGGGAACATTCCACGTGACTCATTTCTCTCCCCTCGGCCACGCAGATCCAGACGGCCCTGAGGCACAAGTCCGAGATCGAGCACCATCGGAACAAGATCCGGCTCCGCGCCAAGCGCCGTGGCCACTACGAGTTCCCGGTGGTGGACGACCTGTCCTCGGGCGACACGCGCGAGCGGCACCGTGTATACCGCAGGGCGCAGATGCAGATCGACAAGATCCTGGACCCCACGGCCAGCGTGCCCTCAGTGTTCATAGAGCCCAGGAAGAGGTGGGCGTCCGCAGAGGGGGCGGGGGCACCCCCCAAGGGTTGCCTGTGGAGGCGCCGTCGGCCTTCCTCCTGCTGGGCCTCTTCTCATGCTCCCCTGCCTGCTCCTCCAGGGGCCTCAGAACCCTGGCCCTGGGTTTATTCTGCCTCCCCGAATTCAGCTAGTTGGACATGGCAGTCACCTTCTCTTTCTCAGATGGCTCTGCTCGAGTCTCTCTCACTGGGGAATCTCCCTCCTCTCCCATCCCACCCTTACCTCCAGTACCTTCACCTGCTTCACGTGGGCACCCGTCCGTGCCAGGTGCAGGTGCATTTCTTTTCCCATAGCTGTCCTCCGAGTCTTGGTGTCTTGGCCTTCCGGACCCCTGCCCCTAAGGCGCGTGTGTGTGCTGTAATCGCTGCTCTGGTTGGTCTTGCTGTGCCCAATACCTGTAACAGCTTTGGTTCCCTGCCGCATGGAACCTGCCCTGTAACAGGAGGCGCCCTGCCTCCCCATTCTGGCTACTTTCCACCATCCAGCAGTGTAGACAGAACTTTCTCTCCCTTAGATGGGCCTGCTGTTGCCCGCCAAACATTGATCTGCTTGCATTTCTCCCCACATCCCTCCCCTTCTGCAGATCCTACTTGCTCTTCAAGACCTAGTTCAGGTGCTGTATAGCCAGCCATGATACTGGTAGCTCACACTGATCTTGCCCTTTTCTGAAGGTCCGGAAAAAGTCACGGTCATATATTACCTTATATTACTCTCTGTTGTTGCGTGCGTTTAATATGCTCAGGTAGACTGTGGCTTCCTCATAGCAGAGACTATGTCTTACATATTTGTATCCTATGGGGTGTTTACCACAGTGGCCACCATATCCCAGATGCTTGGAAAATACTTTGTGTTTAGTGGATAAGCTACTGGCAGGAAGGATTATTTCCTATGAAGATAACCTCCTTCCTGCCCCACCCCCTCCCGCAGCTCCAGGATAAAACGATCTCCTAAACCACGCCGAAAACACCAGGTCAACGGCTGTCCCGGAGATGCTGAGAAGGACAGACTCATCACCACAGACAGCGATGGCACTTACAAGAGGCCCCCCGGTGTCCACAACTCTGCCTACATTGGTTGCCCTGTACGTAACGCTGACTCTCGCTTCCGGAGCCGGGGTGGGGTGGCTCTTAGGAGAGTGACCACTAGTGGCTGCTGCCCTGTGTGGTGTTGCTGCCGATGACTGACACTCAGGGCCATGAGACATGTGGAGTGAGGGAACTGGTAGGCTGCTCCTTTGAGAGGAGACTTGAGTCACAGAGCCCAGCAGGCTGCAAAGTGAGCCCTCTGGAAATGTAACCCGGTGTTTGTCCTTTCTGTACACAAGCCCTGTTCTCTTATGCTTCAGGATGGGTACTCCTGGAAGTTAACTGGAAAACAATTTTTTCTTCCTTCCCCCGGTCATAGAATTGTTTGGGTTTCTTGGTGATAGGAGGGGTATTTAGGGTTTTGTCTATCCCTTCTCTTCCTAGAGTGCAAGAAGGTATTGTGTGTGTGTGTGTGTGTGTGTGTGTGTGTGTGTGTGTAATTTTAATGGAACAAAGAGCTTAATGGAAATTAAGAAATACGGAATTAAACTTTTTTTTCTTCAAACGGAAAGGGGCACACACAGAATTGCTTGAAGTGTTAAAGGCAGACATTGATAGCATTAAGGCGCACATACACAGACCCCATTGAGTAGGGAAGAAAGTGCCAGCCTCCCCAAAGGTCTGTGACACAAAGACAACCCAAGACGGAGGGAGAGCCAGATGTGGCTGACTTCCAGCAGTGCGGGAAGGACACCGGTAGCCTTGGGCCGGGGTGCAAACCTGGCTCATTGCACAAGACCCCTTCCTCCTTCCGGAGATGCACTTACAGAGGCATCCTTGTTTAGAGAGACATTAGCAA